CACAACACACTCACACACTCACACACACACACACACACACACACACACACACACACACACACACACACACACACACACACACACACACACACACACACACACACACACACACACACACACACGTACACACACACACACACAAGACTGTAAAACACATGTTCTACCCAGCACCGCTTTCCCCAAGGGTTTTCTGTGTTGGTGTGTGTGTGTGTTTAAGGTACGCTTTTCGGGGGTTGCCTTGTCCAAGCGTAGAAGCTCTCTGGAAAGGGGTCCCTCTATTTGACTCATGAACATGCCAAAGGGTACACGTGCTTCGACGAAGGTGCTGTACCTGGAAGAGACATTGTAATGTTAGGACAACTCAGAAAGGTAGGGGGCCCTCAAATCTTCACATTGAGCCTTCGAAAGAGAAGTTGCGGTTCCAACAAAAGGCTTTCCGTTTCAGACGGCCCTCCGTTCCCTCATCACGCGTGCAGGAGCGTGATCGGACAGCAGGACGCCGTGAGCAGCGTGTCGCGGGCCCTGCGCCGGGCGAGAGCGGGCCTGCGGAATCCGGGCCGGCCCATCGCCGCCTTCATGCGGGGCACCTCAGGGCCGGGGATGGTTGGAACTTTGGGTTTGTTCCAGATTGGGTTTGTTCAAGAAAAACAACGCGGCGCTCTTTTTTTTGTTTTTGTGTTCCTGTCCGATGGTCATGGAACACAAATGCGATTGGGATTTGTTTGGCTCGGCCGCGGGGACCAGGCTGCAAGCTCCGACTTGTGAGTTGGAGAGACGTTGGGAAGCACGTCCACCAGGGGGTCTGACATAAAGGGATTTGGGGAGGTCTTTTTAAAGGTCGGACCTCCCAAAATGCATCGAATTTCCACTTGGTGTCCCTTCAAAATCACGAACACAGGGGTGGTGGTTTTCCTCTTGGTTTCCTTTCAAAACCACAAAAGCCAGGCGCCCTCCAAATAGAGAATTATCAGAATTTTCGTGGGTTCCCCCAATGGTCATCTCATGTTTGCAGGATCTTTTCTAGCCCAGTAGAGGGGAGGGTTCACCTACTACAATAGACCCGTATTCGAACCTCTCTACTGGAGGACCTGGTTTTCATCAACCAAAGGGATCTGTGGTCGCAATTGCCAGGTTCTGCGGCCCCACGGGGGTGGGCAAGACAGAGCTGTGCAAGAAGCTGTCCTCCAGCCGCTCGTTCCCATGTTGAGCGCGAGCAACGGGGCAATGGGGGGCGCGAGCGGTTCGTGTTCTTTTTTGAGCGTGACATGTGTCGGCTCCTTTTTGTTGGTTTCAAATTTTGAACCCATGCAAAAAAGGCACACACACACAAAAACCCATTTCATTGCTGCCAAATAACCCATGATTGTGGCGTCCCCTCAAGGACACCACAAAGGGACGGACATGCGTCAGTTTCCCAGACGCATTGTCTTTTCTACCCAACAGCGGAAGAAGGTCTTTCCTGGTTCGGACTTGCCTGAGCGCTTTGCGAATTGGCCTTGCGTTGGCCCATTTTTGGTCGACTGATCACTTCAACGACGTATGTTGACTGAGGGGGTGTAGGTCAAATGCCTTCTTGTACATTCATCACCACAGGAAACATTGATCTTGCAGGCAACCATACGTCCGAACATGCTGACCCCCCACCCACACCCACCAACCCAACCCACCACGCCCAACCCACCCCACCCCAACCTAAACCTGAAGAAACCTTGGCCAAACCGATCGAAAGTTGGTCAAGTAAAAACAGAGAGACATCTGTCCCCTTTGCCAAAACAACAAGGACACGGAGAAACCCCAAGGTTTCCCCTTGTTGCCCCCCCCCCCCCCTGCGGCGTCTCCCCCCCGGGCGCGTCACGGGTCAGGGGTCCACCAGGGTCCACCCGCCGCCGAGTTTCTTCTTTTCGGGCGGAAACGCGAGGCTTCTTCGGGTCCGCGGAGGCGATGATCCGGCTGGACATGAGCGAGTTCATGGAGAAGCACACGGTCTCCAAGCTCCTGGGGGCCCCTCCCGGGCGCCTCGCCTCGTGGGATGTTGGGGAAATTTCGAAGGCTCGAAGGCGTTCGAAGCATTCCTTCGGCATGCGGGGGTGGGAGAGGAGGGACTGGGGGCGTGGGGCTTGGGTGCTTGGGGGGGCTCGTTCTTTTTTTGGGTGGAGGCCCCCCCCCCAAGAAATGGGTGGGTTTTCTTCCTTGTTTTCCCTTAAAGCCCAAACGGCTCCAGCCGGGTGGTTTTCTGGTTGGTTTCCTAAGAACCAAGCAACAGGGGGGTCCGCAACAAAAACGAGATGAGCCACCCTCTTGGTGTTGAAGAAGTTCGGGGGCCACAACCCCTACATGTTGCGTCACACCTGCCCCTGTCAGCTATGGGAAGAAAGGAAGAACTACAACCATGATTTGGGGGACGAGCAAGTGAGCGGAGAGTGAGAGGAGCAATACTCAGCAAGGGAAGTCTGCAAGCACCAGCTAGCGGCCCAGCAAAGTCAGTATCATCGCTTGTGTATGTTCAGCAGCTCCCCTTGACTTGGCGATGATTGTGGAATCCTCTCACAGAGATGGATACGTCCCAAAGAAAAAACTTGCTGGTTCTCAGGGAATGAGAAATGGAATGACCCCTATCCATCCTATGGTTTCCTGTATTCGGGAAACCCCCAAAACCGGTTCATTCCCAAGACCCGGATGAGTTGCATTCCCTATCGCATCAAGAAATGGTGCAAATGCCGGTCAAACTCAGCTTGCTGGTGCTCAGCAAGGAATCACCCAGGGTGTTGGGAATGGACCGGAAGGGGTTTCCCTCAAAGGAAACTACAGGTCTAGGGGTTGATCCCCATTCTTTCCAACCATCGTTCTTTTCAACAACCAGCTGTTTCCAGAGGGTTTTTGGTGGTTTTCTGGAAAGATTCGGATCCGTGGAAAGAACGGAAACGGAAGCTACCCCAGAACCGGAGGCCTTTTTTTTCTGGGGTCATGCCATTTCTCATTCCCCGCCCATCGAGCAGCAGCGGAGGTACGTGGGCTACGGCGAGGGCGGCACCCTCACAGAAGCTGTCCGCCGTCGTCCCTACTCCCTGGTGCTCTTCGACGAGGTGGAGAAGGCGACTTTTGGCGATCCATGGCAACTCCCCATTGGATCCGAGAACGGGTGTGGCTCAAATGAAACCACCGGGAAAGACCGCAGGTTTTGGGGTCCTTTCCATTTACCAGGCTGGTGCCATTTTGGGTGCCTATATTTTTGACCCACCGGATGGGGATCGAAAAAACATGTTGGCGCCGACGACATGGGCGGCAGCGGCGTCCTTTTTGTTGGAGTGGGTGACCCTTTTTGGCTGGATTTGAAAGGGAAAGCCCAAATGACGGCGCTGTGGAAATGTCGTGTGGGGCGAAAAGCATCAGGCTCCTGACACAGCTCCTTTGTGGCTGTTTAGAATATCGCCTTTCCCTCAGGCACGAGAGTCGTAGGCAAGCCCCTTGGAAGGTGAAGGGTTGACTGTGCAGCAGGCAATCAGCTGGTTGAGGCCCTGAACCTAACCTGCGCTCACGGGGAGCAACTCAAAGCGACGACCTACCACTGGGACACGCTCCTTGGGTCCTAACGGCCCTAACTCAGGAATAGCAAATCTTGACTTTGCTTCCCCAAAGTCAGGGGCTGGGCTCCCAGGTTTCAATGGTTTTTAGAGGTGAACCCTGATACTTGTTGGAACCTCTCTTCGAACAGGTCAGAGAAAACGGGTCTCAACTGAAACCTGCAGGGCCGGCCTGTTCAAAGCCATCTCCCGTTGACATGTTCCTCGACCGAAAGTTCAACCTGGAATTCTGTACCCTCAGGGTGTATCAAAGAGAAAAGCCCTGCTCTTTGTGCCGGTTTTACCGCAAATGTCCACCGTGGATGATTTTTCCGGAATTTCCCTCCCCCTATGTTTTCCCTATAGTTGGTTCCTTAGAGTGTTTTGAGTGGAGGCGCACCCTGACGTCTTCAACACTCTGCTGCAGCTGCTGGATGATGGCCGCCTCACCGACTCTAAGGGCCGTGTGGTGTGCCTTGTCAAATCAGAGCGAATCGAGACGTGCAAACTGGCTGGTAGCAGAAGTGGCCCTCTTTTGGTTTGGACATAAATCTGTTTGTCTGTTTTTTGAGGGAACCCCGTACCCCTTGTTTTGGTGGTTTAAAAGGGAAACCAACTTGGGGGGTCCCCTAAAAATGCAAACCCAGATGGACCTGTTTGACCTGGTCAGGTTTTATACTCTACCAAGGAAGTTCATCTATTTTCAACCAAAAGGACCAAAAGGACACCTGTGACTGGTAGACTTCGGTTTGGGGGCTGGTTTTGGTTGTGTGAAGCTTCTCCTATGTGGCGGCAGAGGTTGCACGCAAGCATGAAGAAGGGCGCTCCATGTAAGGAAGTCAGCAAACGCGAGAGGCAGCCCAAGTAAGGCAAACTGAGCAGTCTGAAAAGAAAAGAGAGGGGCGCAGTGCCTGGACACATTCGAGCTCCAACTTTCGGCCAAGCACTTTGAATAACCCAGCTGCGGGTTTCACCGGTTGATTGCACTCTTTTGGCGTGGATTGACTGGGGTATCCAAAAGCGAGGGACGTATGGCAAAGGTCATTTGGGGCAACATGTTTTGCCGTGCGCCAGCCCTCGGCACTTCGGGATACGTCTGGGCTGGAGACACTGTAGAAAGTACTGCCGGCAAGTGACAAGAGCGCCATTTGCTATCTTGTAAGTGATGTATGCTTTTGCATGGAGTACAGAATGCTACCAAACATTAAGCGGGAGGAAGTGGACTTCATCACACAGACACACACGCACACACACGTGCAAGCATAGCAAGCTTTCATCGGCAGAATCACGATACGATGCGGGGAGCCCCTTTTGGTTGGGTGTTGAAGGGACAACCACTTGGGAGGGATAGGCATCAAAAGAAAACTTATTAGGGATAAAAAAATGAAACATATTAGGGATCAATAAAGATCGTATTAGGGATCAAAAAAAACCTTCTTCTCAGACCGCTGATTTTTAGACAGTTTACAGAGATTTACGCACCCTTTGTTGAATCATCCCTTCTTCGATATTTCTTTCTTTCTTTCTCTCTCTCTCTCTATTTCTTTCTTTCTTTTCTTTTCTTTTCGTTTCTTTCTTATCTTTTCTTTTCTGTTTGTTTTTTTCTTCTTCTTCTCTTCTCTTTTCTTTTCTTTTATTTTCTTTTCTTTTCTGTCTTTCTTTCTGTCTTTCTTTCTTTGTTTCTTTCTTTCTTTCTTTCTTTCTTTCGTTTCTCTCTCTCTCTCTCTCTGTCTGTCTGTCTGTCTGTCTGTCTGTCTGTCTGTCTGTCTGTCTGTCTGTCTGTCTGTCTGTCTGTCTTTCCTTCTTTCTTTCTTTCTTTCTTTCTTTCTTTCTTTCTTTTTCTCTCTTGCTGTCCATCTCTCTTTCTCTCTCTTTATTTCTGCCTTTCTCTCTTTCTCTTCTCTCTCCCTCTCTTTCGCGGGAGGGGGGGGGGCCGGGGATTCACGGCATCAAGTCAGCCGATTGTTCACAAATCATGTTCAACAAGCGAAACCTTGGCGCGAACAAAGGAGGAATTCCACCAAGCATCTCTCTCTCTCTCTCGCGCTCTCTTTTTCTTTCTTTCTCTTTTTCTCATTTTCTCCCTTTTTCTCCCTTTGTTCTTCATGTTTATTTCTCTTTATCTTTCTCTGTATCGCTTGCGAAAGTGCTGCTCCTGCCACAAACTCTGTACCGTACCTTGCGAAAGTGCGCCTGCCGGGAAATCTGTACATACCTTGCGAAAGTGCTGCGCCTGCCGAGAGATCTGTACCGGGCCTTGCGAAAGTGCCGCGCCTGCCGCAAAAGCTCTACTACCTTGCGGAAGCGGTGCGCCTGCCGCGAAATCTGTACCTGACCTTCGAAAGTGCTGCGCCTGCCGCGAAATCTGTACCTGACCTTGCAAAAGTGCTGCGCCTGCCACGCAATCTGTCCCTGACCTTGCGAAAATGCTGCGCCTGCTGCAAAACCTGTACCTGACCTTGCGAAAGTGCTGCGCCTGCCACGAAATGAAGAAGTGTTTTTGTTGATCCCTGGCAAGTTTTGTTTGATCCTCTGACTTTTTATATTTAGTAGTACATCTAGGAGGAAGTATTTTTTTGACCCCTAGTAAGTTTTTTTTTGATCTTCAGGAGCAAGTTTTTTTGATGTTTTTTTTTTCAATCTCTCACCCCACTTGAGACCCGTTGAAGGGACAACCACTTGGGAGCTGTTCCGCGTCCGGAGACGAATCCTGCTGCTTCAATAAGCTGCTTGGCGATGGCGGCCCAGGTCCTTCAGCAACACGCTGGTGGTGATGACCTCCAACCTCGGGCCGGGGGCCGAATCGGCATTCGGATGTGGCGACAGGGCTCAGCGAGTCCCCTGGGTCGAGCGTATTCTGGGGTGGAGCCAGGGTTTGTTTCTAGCCGCTCGGAGTCTCAGAAAAAACAAAACCTACTAAAAGAGAGAGTATATCTAAAATTAATCAATAAAACAAGACGACGCTATACATTAAAACAACAACTCTACTACCAAACATCTTCCATTGGTGTTTGGGAGCAGGGGTCCAATGCTTATGGCTGTGCGCTTACAAAAAGATCGCGGCGCGGCTTCACCTTCATCGCTAGCTTGGGGTTAGGTATTAACTAATTAAGATGGAACCTGACAGGGGGGTCCTGCAAGACCATTGTCCTCCCCTGTCAGGTTCCATGTAAATTGGTGGGAGGGCATTTGGTTTGAGCCTTTTTGCGGCCCTTGCAAGGCAAACCGAAGACAACCGAGGTCCCAATGAAGGCTGGGCTTTGGGCCGCCCAGTCCTGTGATGGAAGACGGCTTCCCCAATGTAAGCGTCAGAGGAGTACAGGAAAATGTACGGGCACCACATGTCATCAAACCTTCCCCCAAGGGATCCCCGGTTAAAGGAAACAACCACGAGAGGGAGAATACCAAATTGACAAGGAGTTTCTCTGCCAGTCCTGTTTTCTTTCATTCATCCTGGTCCCAACTATTTCAGGGAGTGGCAGAACCCTGCCAGTTGAGTATCTTTCAACGTGCAACGGCAGATATCTTCGAAGCCTGGGCAGGCGTGCCTTTGGCCTCAGAAATGAAGACCTGCTCCCATGGGTCTCCTTTTTGCTTGTTTTGCTCGAAAAATAGGTTGGGCGATCCCTGGTTTACCTGGTGGTTTTTTCTCATCTACCAGGGATTAGGTTTTGTAGCTGTTTGGCTTTGCAGTTGTTTTTAGTTGGTTTTTGGTTTTAGGTTTTGTAGCTGTTTGGTTTCCCCCTAAAATTGGACACCTATGCCTGCTCCTCTTTCTTTATTTTCTGAGGAGCCGAAGCGTGCAGAAGGGCGCAGGCCCGGCAGAGGGTGGTTCTTGGGAATGCTGCGAAGGAGCTCACCCTTAACTTGAAAGGGGGTCCAAGAATTTGCGTGGCCAAATTGGGTCGCTGAGACAGCAGGGCAACATATTTTCTTTCCAGAGACTAGCGGAAAGAGACCAGACTCGCATGGGTGTGTTTTTTAGGGACCCCCCAAGAAAAGGTTGGCTTTGTGGTTTTCCCTTTAAAGCCAACCAAAACGGGGCTCCCCCCCCAAAAAAGGCACACCCACATGTGCACCAGCAAGTTTCGCTTTTGAGGGCTGCACCGGTGCGGCACACTTTCAACATAGCCGCAATCAACATGCCTTGTTTCGCATGGGACATTTTGTGAGTCCCCCTGATGTTCGCATGGAACATTTTGGGAAGTTCCCCATGTCCCGACAGACCGACAGACCAGTCATTTTGACCAAGCCTCATAGACATCTGGTTGCGGATGAATTCGAGTTTCAATTTCACGAAGAATAGAATAGCATAGGCAAATGTGCTGGCTTCGATGTTCTACAAATGTGAAACAATGGCTGCTCCTTCCAATTGGGGGGTCTGGTGACGCAAAGGACTTCAAACAACATATGAGTGAATCTACACTGATGTTCCTTTTGGATGGGTTCTCAAAACAGAATGGAGTGGCTCCCTGTGACACGGAAGAGCCCGCACAGCTTTTTGAGTTGTCCAAAAGGGATGAGCTGAGCCATCAAAGCCCGCCCTTTTAGCGTGCAAGGTATTTATGGTGCATTTGGTTTGTCTCATGGGGTGAGCCTACATGAACCGTTTCCCTTTGTAAGGTGTTTTAGAGGACCTTTCGTTGGGATTCGCTTTGGCTTCCCCTTAAACCGACCAACCACTCAACTGCCCACCAACAGGGTTTCCTCCGGATCCCTTTTGGCAACCTCCAAAAGTGGCAACTTTTGAAGGGGACATCCAGTGACACCTGACACATACCTGACACCCAACTGCCCACACCCCACCAAACACGAAAACGGCTCGGTCCCACCGGTCACCGGATCCCTTTTTTTCTCCGTTTCTTCGCCGCGCAACGCGTCGCGCCCCTCCCGCGCCCGCTGGGCCTTTCCCGCGCCGCGCCGTCTCGGAGCTCAGGCGGCGGCCTGGGCCTGGGCTTCGGCACCGAGGAGGACAGCTCCGAGAGGAGCTACAACGCCCGGCGCCCCAAAAGTCCCGCGGCGCGCGCGCGGGGGTCCAAGGAATCGGCTGTGAGAGGGACAAGCTTCGCAGATGGCCGTGGCTCAAAAGCATGTGCCAACATGGCACCTTGGTAAAGGCAACCAAAGACTAGGACATGCGCATGTTTTGTCAAAGGGAAACCACTGTTTTTATGTTGGGTTGAGGCTTCTTCCAGCGAGGTGGTTGCCCCTTTACGACAAGTCTTGACGTCCCGCTCAGCGGCCAGCAAGATCCAAAAATTGAGGGCGCTCCTGGATTGGCGGTTTGGAATTCAGGATGAACCACCTCCTCAGCACCCATCTGAATCACCAACAGTCAGCTATCTGGTGGCATGGTGCGAGGGTACTTGGGCCATGGTGGGGGGGGGGGGGTGGGGAGGGGAATCTTATGACCTCAACTTGCACAGGGATCCTTAAAAGACACACTTTGCCCATTTGAAACATGGTTTTTTCCACCAAAATGAAGGGACACCACCATTTACAAGGCAATGTTCAGAAAAAGCGGGCGAGTCCAAGTTCCCCGCCCAAGATTTCCGGCGCCGGTTGCGGCACATCTGAGGCCATCAGGGAGGCGGTGCATGAGGCTGGGCTTTGCAGTTTTGGAGCTCGCTTCAAGACAAGTCCGCGTTTGGTTTGATAGGAGTTCCGCTTGACAAAAAAGCATGAATTAAAACAGGACGCCGCGCTTTTTGGGAAGGGTGCTGGCTAGTGTGGCAATAGCTGAAAGGGGTCGGTTGCCACAAGTTTTGAATTTGGTTTGGTTGGTTGGCTGCTGGATAGTTGGGCCCCAAAATCGCCTCAAATGGAGCGACAGAACCCGATGCCTCTCCTGCCCCCAATTTCCGCGTTGAGGTGGAGAGAAAGACTGTGTCCCGGTGGGAAGTCTTCATGGGTTGAAATGCATACGTGGCCTCTTTTTTTCCCCTCCCGCAATGCGAGTACCTTCTGAGAAATGAGCTCCAAGAAAATCAACAACTCGCTTCCTGAGTTCCTGGACTTTTTATGTTTGGTAAGGCCGTTTAGTGGCAAACAAGAAAGCCATTCACGGCGCGTACCAATGTACTGACCGCTTTGATTTGTTTGTTGTTGAGCCATTCAGTTATTCATGTATTCATTCTGCCAATTTCATGGACAAAACGACCCAGACATTCATACGTTCTTGGAAGGTTTTTTTCTTCAAGGGGCCTTCAGGGCTACTCTTCGCTATTCATGGACCCATAGACCCGGCCTAATTGGTTGCGCCTTTTCTTGGGAGTAGCCTTTGGGCTTAATTGCTTAGGGAAGCCAAGGGGAGATCGGCCATTTTCATGGCTTGTCCTTTAATTCTTATTCACTGTTGTTTGGTCATGTCCGCATCTCATCCTTGCTCACACTCTTCTTTGGTTCGTTGGTATGTCATAGAATGCGGGGCGAGAATAAGAGAGATGAATGACCTGGCCATTCTTCTTCTTCTCCCACCCCCTTAGTGGCTATTCCAGAGGTGAACGGTGGGAGACAGAGAAGAGAGATGAAGAGACGGGAGATGCCATGAAAATGCTGTGTTTTGATTAACTGATGGTGGCATATCTCACCATATCTTCTTCACTCACTTTATCACCCCATCACTTCCTTTCAGCTACTCAAGGACTTACAGTTGACTCCGGAAGTGATAGATGGAGAGATATAAAGACATACCAGGCCGTAGAAGCCCAGAGACTTCGCATAGAAATCCTATTACCGGAGGGTGGGTGGGGTGAAGTCAGCGAGAGGAGTCGGCGGCTGTTACTCAAGCGGCCGAATCCTACGCTCAAGGGCGCGTGCGTGCGTGCGCCTTGCAGGAGATGAAGAGCTTCTTCCGCCCAGAATTCCTGAACCGTCCGGGGCTCATAGTACAGTTGGTTTGTGCTGAGAGTTCGAAGAGGGGTTACGGTAGCCCCAAACCACTACGGGGACTAAAGGGAATATTGGACATCACATCGTTTGTGTAGTGGCTCCTCTATAGTGGTGTATAGCTTGTTTGTCCTTGGTGGTACGTTTGAGCGTAGTGGAAATCGTCTCAGTTTTGCAACTAAATCCGAGCGAGACGTTGCTGGATTCACGCCTTTGACCCCTCACTGCGAATTGTGGCGCGCAGTGCTGAGGGTTGACCACGCAAGGATCAGTCCAGATTGTCCAAAATGCTCGGCGGCAAGAAATGCAAATTGCAGCTTCAGCCATGATGCTTTGTGAAGTTTTCTTTGTTCCATTGAACAACATGTAACATGTAGGTTCTTGTTTCCCATTTAGTGGTGAACATCATTTTTTTGTGGTTTCCCCAATGGTCACTCCATGCAAATGATCTTTTGATCAGCCCCCATGTGAAGGTTTGTCAAAATTAGGGGCCCTTTTGGGTATTCCCTTTGAAAGGCTGCACAAGGCGGCACAAGGTCCCAAAAAAGTCAATTTTGGACAGCACCCCACGTGAGCCACAATCAAAACCCGGGTAGATGAAGGATAGTAAGGGAGGATCCCCTTGCCATAAATAGCTGCTGAGATCCGCCTTCTGAATCCTGTACATGGTTCTGGGTAGACCATTTTAACACTGTTAGCCCCGGATTAATCAACTCCTGGTTGATTAATAGGGGGGTGTCCCCTTTTAGTGGGGATTCAGACCACTTTTGCAGAGAACACCCCCCTAATAATGGGACGGGTTCTACTTAGATCCTGGGTCAACATTACCGGGTTTTGATTCTGACCGGGTTTTGATTGCGACTCATGTGAAGCTTCACCAAAGGGCCTGGGGTTCTTCCAAGCCGACTTTTTGAACAGGGCTCCTTAAAAGATACATTTTGCAACCACTTGAAACATGTTGCTTTTGCCACCAAATGAAGGGACACCACCATTTACAAGGCAATGTTCAGGTGTATATGCAAGGATCCTTGTTGAACCTTCCCCGCCACTCGGAAGATCCAGGCCTGGACGAGATTTGTGTCTTCAGGCCGCTCACCAAGGACCAGGTTTTCGGCTGGGCTGCTTGGTTGTTTGTTTTGTTTGGTTGGTCTGTTTGGGGGGGGGAGGGGTTACATGTTTTGACAAAACAAATGCTCCGCCTCAAAGTGTCGACCTCTCCACCATCGGTAGCAGCGAAAAGCTTGAGGGCCACGTGGAAGGTAGTTCCATGTCAACCGCGGATATAGATGACGACAATAGCAACAATACTTGCATGATGATGTACATCTGACAGAACGGCCTTGGTGGGTGAAGGAGCCAAGCCCAGGGCAAGAACATAAATATGTATGCCATGTTTAGAGCTTGGCAGGCATTGGGTGAACATGTATCATCAATTGTTATGGGTCTGCCATTTTGGATCAAGACTGAGCCAAATTGGCAGACACCTTTTTGGTTTTCGGTCATATTGTTGTCTGGAGTGGGACTCCAGCATGTCTGGCGCCGATGCAGGCCTTTTGGTGGCCCATTGTCAGGCGCGGATGTTGCACCCGGCGGCCCTCATGGACTTCGAATCCTACGTGCAAGGACTGGCCCGTGGGGAACGGGACCAGGCCGTTCGGCTGTGGCGGGCTGTTGTGGTGGTGGTGCACCTCCCCCCAACCGAGACCTCTGAATTTCGCATTCATTCCCTGGGGTCGTTGCGGGAGGTTCCCTGCATGGTGGAAGGGTGTGCTAGGTGCACAGAGATGCGTGGGGGGTTCCAGTTCCCGTGGCTCGGGACATGAACCAAACGCGCAGTCCTGGTTCAAGCGGAGGTTGGCCCAGAGGCAGCTTGGGACCTTTACTATGCGGGCCGGGACTACTTGGATGAGGATCAGCTTCGGGCCGTTGACTCGGGCATGCGAGTGCAGCAGCTGGTCCCCGAGCACGTGGCGCGGTTCGTTGGCTACGTGGAGTTGGCCGGCCTCGAGGAGTGTGGCCTCGATCGGGAGGCCGTCTTCTGGGCGTGGAGGAGGTGGCAGGCAGGCCGGGTCTCTTGGCGAGAGCCGGCATATGAGCCGATCCCCTCCGGCGACTGGGAGAGTCGCGATGGGGCCACTGCTTGGGCCGGGAAGGCTCTGGGGCAGTGGCTGGCTGGTTTTGCAGCAGGAGAGCGTGTTTTTCCCCCCCCTTGCATGCGGTGTGGTGCCCTCACAAGGAACGTCATCCGGGACAGGCCGATCTGCGAGGAATGCCTCAGCCATTTGGTCTCTCTGGGGGATCCTTAGCGCCATGGCAGCTGTGCCGACCGGGATCTACGCTCGCCTGGCGGGGGACGCCGGGGGGCAGTGGGACCCGGAGTCGGCTTTGGGCGCGGTGGGCGCCCAGCACACCGCCAGGTGGAGGCGCGAGTACGGGCTGCAGAATGATGCGGACTTTGCGTTCGCCTTCCGCTCGTTTGAGGAGGCGCTGACTACTGGCGGCAGGGACCTGGCCAACTCGTGGGTGCGGGTGCGTAGCGCCCAGGAGTCCGAGCTGCTGCCGGCTGCGGCTGATGTGGTGGAGGGTGAGAGCCGGGGGACGGCTGTTCACCTTCCTTTTCGGCCTCTGGCCCCTCGGCCTTCGAGGGCTCCGGCGGTACGCCTTCGTGCAGTTCAAGACGAACCGGAGGCGATCACGATGCAGGTCCAGCGGCTCGGCGAGGCACTGCAGGACATGGGGGCGATGAAGCCGACAGGAGTCCTGACGGAGCAGCTGCGGCGCGAGTGGAAAGGATCATGTACTCGTTTGGCGCAGCGGTTGGTGACGGAGGCGGAAAGGGCCACGGTGTTGAATGCCTTGCGCACATGGGGTGAGGTGATCACCTTCATGCAGGCGCGTTCTCGCCCGCTGCCGCCGGAGGTGGTCGACCTTGATGTTTTCCTCCACGAAGGAACAGCTGCCCCGGCCCGTGCTACCCAATCACTGCGCTGGCTCACCAAGCAGGCGAGGGTGGATCTGGGTTTGAGCATGCTCACGCCGCCTGCGGGACAGGCGCGCCGGGCAGGGCCCAGGAGACAGGCAGCCGTAGTGGAACCGGTGATGCTGCTGAAGATGGAGCAGCGGATGGAGGAGCTCTACACGCAGGGCGATGATCGCTGGCAAGCGTTGCTGGCGGCATGGATGCTCTATGGAGGAGTTCTACGCCACAAGCACCTCACTCGGGCGGAGGTGCGGAAGGTGACCATGTCGACGGTCCATGCGCACTGCATCAAAGGGAAGCAGCGGCGCCTTCGCAAGGGCTTCGACTTCTGCGTACCCGGACAGCTGTCAACCGGGTGGGACTGGTCGGCGGCCTGGCTCCATGACTTCGCCCTGGTGCCGGAGAAGCAGAAGGCAGACTGCGGGCTGGCGTTCCGTCGGGAGGGGATCCCGTGGTCGCTATCCGATGTTTACCGGATGGTCCGGCATGAGTTTGCGGACTTGGTGGAGAACCCGGCGATGGTGTCGTCGTACTCGTTCAGGCGGGTTGGTACCACGGTGGGCCAACTGGTGGGGTTCAGCGCCCTCGACATGGCGGCACTGGGCGACTGGCAGACCAAAGGCGACGTCCCGGAGGATGCTCGCATGCCATTGCACTACAGCGGGGCCAAGTACGCGGCGTCCTTGTTGGCCAAGCACAGGATGGTGGGAGCGGTTGCGGCTCTGACCCACCACGAGTCCTGGGAGTTGGTTCCGCCGGCGGAGGTCCAGGCGGCCCAGGCTGGCCAGGCGGCGTCAGCCCAAGCCAAGGCGCGGGACGCCCAGGTGGTGTGGGCGGCCCCCCCACGCCCCAAGGAGCTTCAGAAGCGCTTCGCCCTGACGCAGAAGCTCAAGCGGATCGCCAAAGCCAAGGCAGAGGCGGCTAAGCCAGCTACCACGATGCCGGCCTCGCTCAACGGCCGGCGCCTGACCGCAGTGATGCGTGATGGCAAGAGGCTATGCCCGGCGTTCCAATCGGGGCAATGCCCCGGGGAGCGAGTGTGCGGTTTTGCACACCTTTGCGCATGTGTCCGCTTGACGGGGAGAGCCTGCGGAGGGAAGCATGCAGCGGGCGCGTGCCGGGTGACGAAGGTGGTCATGGTGGAGGACCCGGAGGCGTCCATCCCGGCCCGGCCGTCAGGGGCCGCTAGCAGTGGCTCGGCTAGTGCCGAGGCGATGATGCTGTCGCCCAAGATCAAGGCGGTGCCCCAGAAGCGGCCGCCAGAGCCGAGCGGCCCTGGTGAGAAGCGGAGGAGGCGTGACGCCTGGCCCGACTCGGAAGCCCCGTCACAGCCTTCGCGTCCGGCGGCTGTGCTCCCTGTGGCCCAGGGGGACCAGCTGTTTGATGCCCTTGCGGAGGAGCGCGCTGCGCAGGTGGTGCATTTACCAGAATGCGAAGGGTGGCCGTTTGTGGTTGTCCGGACTCCCGAAGCAGGTGGAGGTGCCCAACTTCCCGCCCGTGACTCTGCAGATCATTTGCCTCCCGAACAGCCCGGAGAGCCGGGGGGGTGTGACATTGCCGGGGGCGTTCCCGGTGTACATGCCCATCACGAAGCCACGGGACCGCACGGAGGGCTGGAAGAACATGTGGGCTGTGCTGCAGCAGACGTTGGCGGCTGGTGAGCAGGCGCTCGTGCACTGCATGGCGGGCCGGCACCGGGCCGCGGCAATGGGCATCCTGGCCCGTGCAGTCTTGACCCGGGAGACCATCTCGGAGTCGGAGGCGTGGATTCGGGCCCGCAGAAACATCGAGTTTAGCAGGATCGCCCGCGACAAGGACACCGGGATGTGGGTGGAGCGAATGCGGCAGGAAACGAGGGTGGGACCCTCGTGGCCTTTGCCGGTGGGCTACGTGACCACGGTGCGCTCGAACATCCACCTGCGCATGATGAACGATGCGCCGCTGTGCAGCCACAAGCAGGCGCGCTCTGGTGCTGGGCGCTTGAGGGATCCGATCCTGTGCGACACCTGGGAGGAGGCGTCAGCGTGGGGGCGGACTTTGTGCCACCTTTGCCAGGGGCGAGCTCCAGCTGGGTGGCGGCGCAGTGAGTAGACCATGGCTGATGGTTTGCGGTTTTGCCTTGTAGCGCCCCGGCGCATCCAAATAAGCTTGGGTCCCCATTTTGCACGGGCCTCAGCCTGTGCCGACGGGCCCGACTCTGCTGAGAGTGAGAAGAAAGTCGATGTGAGGACGAACTGTTTTAACCCCAGAACCTCTGAGGCCCCCCTTCAAGGGGTGTGAAGTTTGGCTGGGACCTTAGGTTTTGGGGAGAAGTTGAAGGGCGAGTGACAGTCCCCCGCAAGTGATGCTCCACGGCTTGACTCCGCTGCACCTGCACTGTCATGGGGGTTTCCGTGGAAGACAGGGAGGGAAGTCGGTCATGGGACGGGGTCTGCCTCAGCCCATTTCGTATTGCAGGACTAGATCCGGCGTTGACAGCCAGGCCGGGGAGTGACCCCGGCGGCAATGGCAAGTTTGGGGTTGGTGCCTCCACCTGGGAAGACCATTGAGGAAACCCTTGGGGCCCTGGCAATCAACTTCGATTTGGAGCAATCGGTCGTCCAAGCCCTCCTCAAACACAAGATTGCCAACCTGGAAGAATTTCGGTTTTTCTTCGACTCGGAGGCACAGGTTGAAACCTTCCTGGGCAAACTGAATCTGGGAGAGGATCGAATGATCCAGGTGGCTCGTTTGAGGCGGGCCTGGTCCGCGGTTTCACTGTATTTCAAGCAGTGTGACACCGACCGTTCCAAAGTGAGTGCCACTGACCTCGATTCACTGCTGGGAGACAGCGAGCTTCGGGATGTCAAGGTGGCCTTTTGGACCAGGTACCGAGTTCGGCTCCCCCCGGAATTGTACCCTTCGGATGCCACCGTTTCCCGAGTGAGTCGAGAGATGTCCAAGAGGCTGCTGTGCGTTTTCGATGTGTGGAAGGTTCGTTCATTGCAATTCCAGCTCACGTCATCCAGCAAGAAGAGGAAGCTGGCGGACACCTTGTTCGTCGAAGAGGACGCGGACGAGGACACTGTGGCCAGAGATTGGGAGGGCTATCTGGACAAGCTCTACACGTTGCTGGTGGCC